CGTCCAGACTAGTGCGCTGAGCCGACAAACAGCTGATCAACTGTTTGTCGGCTCAGCGCGGCAGCCATGTAAATTTAAATGAAGCGGCGATTATTTAAATCGCCGCTTCATTTCCCTTTGCCCAATAAACAAATCTACATGGCTCCGTCGACGGAGCCATGTAGTGTAGACGTACCCGAAGAGAACTTCCGAAAAAACTTCTTCCGAAAGAGTGCATCCACACTGCCAAAGCGCATCGAAAAAGTGATCTGCTTTTTTGAAAGATAGTGTCCATTCAGAGTGGACATTATCTCTTATTTAAACTGATTACTATGGACAGAGTGGCCACCAGGGCACCTGTGCTTTTTCCTCTTTCTTCTTCTTCCTAAAGAACTCCCTCTTCCCCGTCTACACACACCTTTTTCTGAAAGAGTTCTTTTGGAAAAAGGCTTCTTCCTTGTAGGAAGAGGATTACCAATGCCGGAAAACACCCTCTGTTTTTTTGAAAGAACACGATTTCAGTGTGAATGTAATTGAAGTTTTTCTGAAAAAACTCAATATTGTCAACATATTTTGACAATATGTTGGGTAGGATCCAAAATTCCTGTCCCCGAGCCACCACCAAACATTGCAGAACTACATTATTTCGGTTGTACCCACAGCCCTTTTGTCCCATGGAGGGAGTGTGATTTTTGCTCATGGTGCCAGAATCTAAAAGCAGAAGACTAATTTCAAAATGAAATTGATTTGCAAAATGATTCAGAAAGGAATGGGATCTGCCTGATGGAGATCTAGAACTAAAATCTCCTGGTTTTGTTTCCAGAGGGATCAGAGCAAACTAAACAGCTTTTTTGCACTTTATTCTTTCCTGTATGCAGATGGCAGTAAGCCTGTTTTTTTTTTTACTGACATCACGGGGTCTGAGCTTGGGGCTCATGGTAATGCATAGTAAGGTTAGAAATCAGTTTCAAATTCATTGAAACTGACACTTTCCATAGCAAATACAACATCAGCAACAGCAATGAAAATGCCTCCACCTCCTCCTGCCAATGAGTCCAAAAACAGACACACAAACTTCTGAGGTGAGAGGACAGCTGAGTCTCCCCACATCCATTAATCCTTGACACTGCTCACAAGAATGCCAATTAGTGCCATTTGTGGCAGTGATTTTGTGACAGACATGAACTGACAGCTCCAACTCCTATGGCAAAATCCTGGCCCCTCTGCCTTTGACTTCAATGGGGGTTAGGATTTCGCCCCTGAGGAATGGGGACATTTGTACAGGACAAACTGTTTGGTTGTCATCCACCTTGGGCCAAACTCAGTCCAAAAATATAGAGGAGAAAGATTCTACATCCTATTATCCATTCAGAGTTAGGCAATCCCCCAATAAAGTATTTTTCACAGATAAGTCCTACTTTGTGTTAGCTGTTGCTATGGAAGGAATTAGGCTATCTTCTTGTTATCAGCAATCAGAATCCAATAAAACAACCTCTGTGATATATGCGTTTACAAAACGGACTGAATTCCAGACAACAGTCTCATATTATTGATTCACAGCACTGGAAGTTAGACCATGACAAGGTAGATCAAATTTTTCCACACTGATTTTCAGGGGAAAAAAAAAAAGACAAGTGGAAATTACATGTACATAACTCCACTCTGCCAAGGTATGCAACCATGAGCACAGTAGCAGGACAGGAATTTTGGACAAAATAAGGATAACACTCCGCAACTTTGCAGGATTGCTGCAAGGCGTTAGTCAATATTTCTTGGAAAGAGCTCTGCGATCCTATGAAGGTGGTGTTAAAGAAGGTGGCAAAGGTCTCACAATAGAGATTCCTCTAAACCTGTTTCAACCTTCTACTCCAGGTCTGGGCAAAATACGACCTGCATCTAGCCCGCTAAGCCATCACAGCCAACCCGGGACACAGCAGGGAGCACAAGGTAGACTCTCTACTTGCCTTCCCCACTCCTCTCCCCCCACCCAGAAAAGCAGCTACTGGGCCAATTCTCTTTCAAAACTGTGAGCAGGGAAGAGGGGACGAAGGCTTCAATGCTGCCCCCGCCCTCACAGTCCCATTGATCAGTTTTTGGCCAGAAATCAGCCAATGGGAGCTGCCTGTTTGAATAACAGGCAGCACACAAAACATCATGTCCCCTTCCCCTCACAGTTATTCACATATGCACGTGGCCTTGCAGTCTGTGCAGGAGCTGGGCAGGCAGGCAGCCAATCTGAGAAACGTGCTGGACTGCTGGTCAGGAGTCACCCAGGTAAATCTCCTGGCCACAGCCTGCCTCTAGCACCCCAGCCTCTCACTTCCCCAGACCTCTGCCCCCCACTTCTGTTATCCTACTTCACATACCCAAGACCTCTGCCCCCCCTCCTGCACCCATATCTCCTCCCAGTTCTGGCACCCAATCCCCAGGACTGGGTCACAATCCCTTCCTATCCTATGTCCCAACTCAAACCCCTGCATTGCTCCTGTGGGACTGGGTCACAATCCCTTCCTAGCCCATGTCCCAACTCAAACCCCTGCATTGCTCCTGTACCCCAAACTCCTACCCAAGGTCACAATCCCTTCCTGCCCTAGGTCATATCCCAAACTTCTGAACCCGTCTCCTGCACCAGGTCACAACTGTCTCCTTCACCCAAACTTTCTCCTCCCAGACGCCATTCTCCCTCTTGCACCCCAATCCCTTACCCCAACCTCCCTTCTGCACTCAACTTCCATCCCAGATCCCACACCTCCTCCATTAATATCATGAGAGGGTTCAGTTCTCAAACACTTACCAAAATCTTGGAGTGGCTCTTCATCAAAAATTATTGTCCACCACCGTTCTACCTCCTTGCCTTGAATCTCATACCTATACTTATTTAACATTTTAAAGATACAGTAAGGGTGATTTCAGTTTTGACCCTAATCCAAACAACATTCTGAACCAGAACGATCTCCATATATTTACCAAAACCAAAATTTTGATTTCTGTGGGAGCTCTTCAATGATAGCATGCACTGTTATAAGTTAAAAATCAGTGTAGCCGATTGATGGAGGTTATGTATGCAACGCATATCTGTGATAATACCGAATTCAATCCCATCATGACACAAAGGGATTGCTGGATTTACAGTCCCAAATCTGCAGTCATCTTTTGGAGTGCCACAGAAGTTAAGAGGTTTCTGTAAGAATCTATCTGGATGGATCAAACTGCAAAATCAGGACCTATGTACATATATTTTAGTGAAGCTGTTGCATGGTATCTACACTAGACGATCCAACAGATGTCCCTAAATTTAATTCTAATATGAACTTTTAAACCCTCTGCCCACTAGATAATATATAACACCAAGATCTTGTTCATTTATGATAATTAAAAATCACTCAACACATTCTGTACAAGTAAGTGTATCAGGTCTGGATCTCTAGACAAGATAGTTCATCAATTCCTTTTTGAATGTTCTATTGTACTGCTATTGATGCACCAGTAATCAGCTACCAAGTTTCAACCCAGAGGTGGCAGTACTGCAGTAGAACCAATAAGCCTGCTTTGAAAGAGCTAGTTTTCTGCGATAGCTAGAAATCAGAGAGGTTTAATCCCTATTGTCAAGTACACTGACAAGGGCAACTGTGCCTTATAAATAGTTCCATAGAATCATTCATCCAAAGAT